AAGAGCGTTTCTGAGCAGAGGCCTTGGGGGGCGGGCTCTTGCTTCGCTGCCTGGGGACAGGCGACAGTCAGCGGCCTGGACGCCTGTGCAGGTGTCAGGACACACTTCCTTGTTCTAGACCAGCCGTGGGGAACGTGCGGGCCGCGGGCCCTGCCAACACAGCAGGGGTGAGTTAATTAAATGTCTGACGAGATAGAGCAGGCTCATTTCCTTTCTGGTGTTTTAAAAATACATTTTTACTGATTTCAGAAAGGAAGGGAGAGGGAGAGGGAGAGAGAGAGAAACATCGATGATGAGAGAGAATCAATGCTCCGCTGCCTCCTGCACGCCTCCCACTGGGGATGGAGCCCGCACCCCGGCGTGTGCCCTGACCGGGAATGGAACCGTGCCCTCCTGGTTCATAGGTCGACGCTCCCCCACTGAGCCAGGCCGGCTGGGTGCAGGCTGATTTTCAAGTTGATAATGTTGTATGGCCCACGGATGATGTGATAAATATCCGAATGGCCCTGGGCAGAAGAAAGGTTCCCCACCCCGTTCTTGACCATGAAGATGTGGGGATGTTTGTTTCTCAGCATAACTGAGCCCATGCTGACAGATACAGGAAGGCAACCTTCCCTTCTAGCTCGGAAGGGGTGGCATGTGCCTTAGAAAGGTGGAGGGACGCCTCCAGGTCACCAACCAGTTAGTGACAGCTGCATGAGGCCAAGATGTCTGACCACGCCTGACCCTTGGCCCAAAGTGGGACCCTGGCAGCCGAGGGCTGTCTGGGCCGATTTGCTCTTCGTTTCTTGTGGGAAGAAGAAGGCCCCTGCTCACGGCTGGCCCTCAGGGAGGGAGAGGACGCTTATCCGCAAAGGGGCAGACATCGAGTTGGCCTCACGATTTCTCTGCAACAGGAAGTGCCCGGGAGCCACATCCCGGTGACCTTGAAAGGTGAAGGTTGTGACCCCACATTCCACGCCCAGCCGGTCGTGTACCTCGTGCAATGTGAACAGGAAGGCGCCCTCCTGCGGGCAGCTTGCTCTTCTAGAACATTCCTGAGGGGTGCACGCCAGCTGTGCGGGACAGCGAGGGGCGCCATGCAAGCCTGGTCCACGCAAATCCTCGCGTATTTGATTATAAAATTAAAAAGGGCAGCCCGGCCGGTGTGGCTCAGTGGTTGAGCATCCACCTAGGAACCAGGAGGTCACGGTTGGATTCCCGCTCAGGGCACATGTCCGGGGTGTGGGCTCGATCCCCAGTGTGGGGGGTGCAGGAGGCAGCCGATCCATGACTCTCTCTCATCATTGATGTTTCTCTCTCCCCCTCCCTTCCTCTCTGAAAGCAATGAAAATATTTTTTTTTAAAATAAATGAAATTGAAAAGGGCATACATGCCTCAGGAGGCACCGAGGAGTGAGCCTAATGAGGGAAGTTTCTAGAGGAGATGAGTGGCCGGGGCCTGTGCTGTGGGGCCCCCGGGACCCGCCAGGAGGGTGTCCTGTGCCCACTCGGCCTCATTTCTCTGTGGACAGAGGGAGACTCAGCCTTCTATCCGGGGGGTCTCCGCTGATCCCCGTTGATCCCTGGGCCACCACTGACCATTGGATGGCAAGACCCCCTGCCCCCTCCTGGTCTCCCCGCATTCTGCAGCTCTGTGTGCTGTTGCCACCGGGTTTTCGGGTGCTGGCGCTGGGCGTTCCAGGACCCCCTAGCGATGGCCCGGGAGGCGCAGGGCTGTGGGCGGCGGCTGTGCTGTGGTCGGAGACGGTGATGGAGCCCGGTGAGGCCAGGCTTCTGGGAAAGTCAGCCAGCCTGTGACTAAGTCCCGTCTGAAGCCTGACCACCGCCCCCGCCCCCCGATAGAGCAGATAGGGCTGCGCCTGGCCGCCGCCACGTCCGGGGCCCTGACGGTCCGCTTTGATTCCGCAACGTTTTCCAAACCCAGAGCATGATTCACATCCCAGACCCGCGTGTGGAATTTCTGCAAACAGCCGAGGAATCCGCCTGCTTCTGAGGGGTGCCCCGCCTGCTCCTT